ACTGAGCATGGAGAAACTGTGCGCTGGAAATTGCTGGGACAGAAATGCTACTTGTATGGGACAAGTTGGTCCTCTCAGCTACAAGTTGAAAGCTGGAGTGTGTGTATACAGGCATAACCATGGTAACCACCCATTGTGGACAACAGTCAGACAGTCTTTGCCAACAATCGCAGGAAGCTTAGTGTAGCACAAGTGTACTTGAATGTTTTTAGGATGGACTGGGACGAATGGGGGTTTTCTTTGGAGGAAATGTACTAAAAAAAACAATAGCAGCCTGCCTGGAACAAGCAATTTTTTAATAGCAGTTAATGTAAGAACTGAATGCACATCTGCCAGGAACCAAGGAGCTCTTAAGCTATGCTAATGTAGAAACTCAACTCAGTTTAGTGCATATTCTGTTTCCATGGATGTACCTTTATTAGTATTATCAATACTTATATGTATTGATTTTACTAATAAAGCACGACTTTCAGTCCTGTGGAAAAGGAAACACAGTCCAACCATCTTCTATGATTATACTTTAAGGCTGATGAGATTCCATTTTGTCATTGTTAATAACTATGATACTGATAGTGCTGACACAACCATCAACACAACATGAAGTATTATAATCACTATTATTATTTTTGGTGACTAGGAATGCTTCCACTGCACCCTGGATGGAATAATTGTTAATTGACCCCCAGCATTAAAGTTGCCAGTATCCATTTATACACCTGGGTGGAGAGAGGCACTGTGACAGACTCCAGTCCAGGTCTAGACTCACCACATCCCCGACTCTAATATATCGATTTAGCCAAGACTAAAAGCGGACCTCCTGACTTTTTAAGTAAACCTGGCTTGACCCTGCAATCCAATGATCTCTTAACTTGAGCCCATGATATGGTCATGTGGTACTGGTCAGCGGATTCCTTGTGTTGACAGGTGTCAGTTGACCATAACATGGATGTCCAATATCAAAGATGTATGCTGTTAACCCAGTCTGCATGTCTCAGTTAACCTATTAACTGGAGTATGACCACTATGTTACACAACTTTGTTATCGTTGTCATGTGTATGC